TAGCCGATATGTAAGAGAGAGAGAGAGAAAGAGATAGAGAGAGAGGGAGAGAGAGAGGGAGAGAGAAAGAAAGAGAGAGGGAGGGAGTGAGGAAGGGAGAGAGGGAGGGAGGGAGGGAGAGAGGGAGGGAGAGGAGAGGAGAGGAGAGGAGAGGAACGATCTCTCGTCCCACGTCACTGGCCTCCTCGTCAGAGCGCATCGATTTATCTTCGGGCGATCTAGTAATTAATTTTAAACGCAATATAATTGGCTGCTCGTAATTTAGGCGGTGGCCGCTGTTCCTCCGACGATGATTAGGCCAACGTACTCGCTCGAGAGCCTCTTAATTGACTCGTTGCCCTCTTTCTCGCTCGCGCTGCTGTAGCTCGTCTCATCTCTCGCCTCCCTCCTCTCGCCCTCTTTCCTTCCTTCCTCCCTTCACGCCACCATCATTACATCACGCGTGTTGCAAGAGCGAAAGAGAATTCTTTTCGTTCTTCTCTTCACTTTTTAGTCGAAATCTAAGAGGTCTTTCTTCGGAGAGAAGGCCCCGCGCAGGCGTATCCTTCGCTCTCTCGCCGGTGCGTTGCTTTCTTTGTGCGAATACCTGTTCTATATGAAATTTCGTCGTATTAGTTCCGCCGAGATTAATTTAGCGCGCGAGGAAGCCTGTAATCCAATTCTTAAAAAATCATTAGCGGCCGGTTCATTAGTGGCCTCAATGGTTACCGCTTCGTGCGGTGTTAACACGAGCCCGGCGGATTGTTCGTCGAGGCCCGCCGGCATTGTCTTCGCGATCGGTAAACCCGCGGCGATTGATTTACGACGATTTACGACGCGTCCGCGCCGATGGACACCCGTTTTCGTGGCGTTCTCGCCGCGTGACGGGGATGAATGAACGCTCGTTAACGATCGATCATCGCTTTGTGGCAGCGGGACGAACGAATGCGCAGTTGAGTTGTCGTCGAGGTGTTCTCGCGTTATTAACCTGTCTGAGAATGCTGGAGAGGGTGGGATTAGCGGGGCTAAATCGTTCGGATCGAACTTGGGACATCTCGCGAGTCGTCGACTAGTTTTGGAAGTGTGATCTTCGAGAATAAATTCCTAACACACGCGGATTATAGTCAGTTTCATCTGGACAAATGGAATGGACAATTGTCCACATGGAGTGGACAAGTGCTGAAACATTTCAAATCATATGATTAATCTGAAAAATTTCTCGAGAAGAACGATTGAGATGCCTCATACTTTAACAAGTTAAATAGTGATCATCATTAGTGATCAGCTATGACACAGAGAAAAAGATTAATTTTACTAAAATTATAGTTATATTTTCAATACCAACTATATCTCCTTACACTTACATATATATATAAACATATACACATATAAATTTTAAATTATATATATATATATATATATATATATATATATATATATATATATATATAGTTGTAAGTCCAACAAAATAATAGTAGTAACAATATGTACATAAGGTTATTATCATTAACATTATAGCAATACTCGCTACAAAATACAAAATATGATTCTTCTGGCAATAATTCTTTGGCTATACAATTATAATTACAAATACAAAACACTTTCTTCTCAATATACAGTTTTGATTAAGTTATGCATACGGAGAGAATTTTATAATAAATATTACTATAGAATTTTGCCAAGGAATAGAAGTTGATTCTGTAATAATCTATTATCCCCTCATTTTATATGTTAGACTGAAATATGCTATTGAAAAATTTACTGATTACGTCATGTAACGTCATGTTTCTAGCGAAATTTACTATGTTTCTTAGCAAAATAAATCTTAGTCTATTGTGTCTACAGTCTATTGTGACTCTTTCTTTTCTGCGCTACTATAAATATAGTAAAGAAACATAATAAAATATAGTAAAGAAACATAATAAAAAGAATGTATATAAGGAAAAACCATAATATTATCTCTGTGTATAAAGTATAATTAATTGTATCTAAAAGAATTTGCAAGAATTTGTTGTACAGTCAATTATAAAAGAGGACCAATAGAAATACAACCTAAATCGTCAATAATAATAAATCGTCAATAAGGGCCTTAACACAGAATTTAGTACAATGGAAAACAAACCCTAAAATTAATGAATTAACTGTACTACAGTTTTTAATAATATATTTCACAGTTGCTAAAATATAAATAGCTTATGAAATGAAATAAATAATAAATTATTGTAAAATGTCGATCTCGATTGCACAAAATATTCTGCAATAATTTTTATTATAAAATGAAACTAATTGGAATAAAGTAAACTAGTGAAAATAGAAAATATTTATATCTCGAATTACATTTATTCGCTGTATTTTTAGTCATGGGATTGTCAATTTGGTTCTTGCACAGTTAATAGTAATCAGCGCAGCGATCAATCGTCGTACGTGTTAATCGTCGTACGTGTTAATCGTCGACTATTTTCAAAAGTAAAAGACGATCATCTGCGATACGTATCAGCGACTGATCGTTTTTCCCAACGGGACGATATGAAATTTTTAATCTGCCGGCTCACACATCGACCCGCACGGCAGGCCTAATATACGTCATGGCGAAAGGTCACGCGCATCAAACTGAATTAACCCTCCTAATGAAGTCCAACAAAGTCGGAGTAAGATGTTAACGGTACCCCAGCGGTTTATGAGCGGTGATTGATGTGCCAAATCGGGAATGCACTCTCCGTCCATTAGATCAAAGCGCATGGCAGTCAAATGTTTGTTGGTAGTAAGGAACTATCTAGTTAGATAATTAACACCTCCATCATCCCT